TCCAAAATAGAAAAGTAAAAGTTTTGCTCTGAAGACCAGCTTAAGACAGCTCACTACCAAGCCCATCCTCACCTACCTCATTTATCTCCATGTTCCAAATGACTCCACCTCACTCATGCCCATCCAGTTAACATTTTCTGCTGGTTTAGTGGTTCTCAGCTATACTGTTACGATATACTAGCAATTTGTGAGCATTACTGGCAAGTAATTATCATTAATATTGGTCAAAATACTAAAATTTGCCAATGGCTTATTTTTAAAATTAAACTTGAGCAGACCTGCGATGATTGTAGCAAGCACAGTAATAATATCCTCACTCGTGTTGTAATCCTATGTGCTGTGTTGGGTGGGAGAACTACAGCTGACAGACTCAGGACCAGGACTGGTCCACACCCCATCTTGCCAATATGGTCATGGAGTGTGTCAAGCATTGAATGGCATTTATTATCTATCTTAGTGGAAAAACACAGTTGAGAACCATTATGCCAATATTTCAGTCATTTTCCTAAGGCCATGTGCACACTTTATTTTCTTCTCCATAACTCAAAGTTTTCCTTTTTCTGTTTCAAATAAAGGAATCTCATACGATACTCTGATCTGGCACTGGCTTTTGAAAGTAGGGATTGAAAACCTTGGTGCTTATCTTTTGCAGCTCCTTTAGAGACCCGAAGCAGCCCTTTCATCCCTATGATTTCACCAAGTTCTAGTCAAGAGGATCTACAAACCACTCTGGGTAAATTTTGTTTTGATATTTCAGTCCAGGGAGGACCTACCTTCTAGGGCTTGCTCTTAAAGAAACCATATTACATTGTGCTCATGTTGTTTCCAAGCAATAGAGGGTTTCTTTCTACCATTATATAAAACCTCCACTTCACTTGATTCTTTTACATTAATTGTATATTTGTCCTAATCCTTATGGTGATTTTTAATATAAAATGAGAATGTTTTAAATCACCTTGACAAATTTTCAAGTATTCTAAAAAGCAGAATGTTCCCAAAGTGTATCAGTGCTATATGTTTTATTGTTTCTTCTGTATTTGAAAGTGCATTTGAAAGAAAAATTGTATCTAGTATTTATTGAGTATTTTATGGCACAATGCTAAGCAATGGGAGTTTCGAAATAAAACTGTTTTAAAGATGGATCCTTCCCCTGGAGAACTTGCCCTGTAATATGAAAACAGGATTTAAGGATAGTGGTGCTTCCTGAGTGCCCCTGAGAATGCTACCTGTATTTTTAAATTTAAGCCACATGACAACGTTGGGAGGTAGGTTCTATTACTTGCCCCATTTTACAGATTAGGAAATTGAGGCATAGAGGGATTTAAAATTGTGGCCAAGTCACATTGCTAACGTCAGAGCCAAATTGGAACCCACACACTCAGTCACCAGAGCTCCTGGGATTCACCCCAGTGTTATGCTTTGCAAATGAGTGTGATAGAGAAATGAGCAAACTACCTGCAGGCATCAGGGAAGGCTCCACAGAAGAGGAGACATTTGCACTGGGTGTTTAAGCTGGAGTAACAGTTGAAGTTAAAAATGCAGGGTCCTTTCAGGTTAAAGACAGATGGGAATGAGCACAGGGCAGACTGGCGGCCAGTCTGATGAGGTGAGCACGCAGGTCACATGGAGAAAAGTTGATGGATGAGTCAGGACAGTTGTTTGGGATGAGCTGGCCATGCTTTTGGGGAGTTCATAGTGGGAAATCCCAGTCTGCCTGACTCTTGGCTGAAAATGAACCAGAAAACAAGTGTTCCCAGCTTGTGATTTTTGGCTCCTTTGCCTGTCCATGCTACATCACACATGACTGTGTTTAAATTAGTGGCCTTATTTTTCTTTTTTCCTTCCCTTTTCAAATAAACTCATTCTTTATGTATAGCTGCTGAGATGAAGTTATAGGTCACATTTTAAAATAAAATTCTTTTGGAGAAAAAAAAATTAAAAACTAAATGAGCAAATATACCCTGATTACCAAATATTCGTCTATTGTAGTCTAGGCCCACAAGGTCAAGATCACCCATGAAAATTAATCAAAAGTACTTTCAAGAACCCATGCCAGATAGGCTAATTATCCAACTTCCACTCCCTATTTTTTAAATGTATTTTGATTTATTGAAGCAAGAATCAGCACCTCTCATTTATCTCAAGTATCTCTCATGAGCCAAATCCAGATTATAAAGCAGAACAGAAACACAAAGAAGAAGATGACAGTATATTATTTGCACAAAGTTTTTCCTTGGATCCAGCATATGCCAAAGTGAACAATGTAATTTTCATGATGTGATCATGAGTCCAAGATAATATTGAAGGTGGAACTATTGCCATACTTATTTCTTTTTGAGGGAGTGGAGAAGGGGTCAGGAGAAGTGTGTCTATTTGTCAGTAAACATAAAATTTGCTTTTCACACGAGGAAAATAAAAGAAAATTTATTCTTATATGGTGCAAATACACATATTTTCATCTGACCTATTTCTTTTCCAGCTCACCTAAATAACTTGTGGAATAATGTATGGAATAGGAAAAGGACATGAAGGCAGTTAGGAGACACATCCAAGTATCATCACCTCCAGTATCATGAAATAATGGTCCTGAGCTAAAAGCTTTTTAAAATCATTAAAAAAAATTAGTGCAAAAAGAGAGAAAATATAATAAATGGGAGTTACTAAAATCTACTACTAACTTTGAATTATCATGATTACTGGGCATACTGATAAATGCAATTTACCCTTTTATTATCACTTGCTTATAATGTTAATTATTTAAAGCAAGCCCTCTTACTGTGCTTTTCCCCAGCAGAAACAGACCAACCCACCCAAGAGCTCTTCACGACTAAGATTCCACGAACAACTGAGTCAGCAAAGACAACTCGGGGTAATACTATTTTCCCACCTCTGTATAGTAACTTCTTTTCTTCGTTTTAAATTAGGAAATACAATTTCTTTACAGAATGTGATTTCTCATCACAGTGAATTACTTGATTTTTTTTCATTTCATAGGTGCAGGACATCAGCCAAATATTAATGTCCATATGACTATCAGTGAATGTCGGAAGACACGTTTTTTAGTTAGAGCTTTACTTTTGAATGGATGGCTGATAACTAACAATGAAAGCTCTCTTTTGTTATTCCTTGATGGACCTTCATTTACCTCATTTTCTATATCTGATAAATAAGAATGTTTATTACCTTTCCTCTCTTCCACCCTCCACCACCCTCCTCTTTCTCTCCTTTTTTTTTTTTCTGTGCCCAACTTGCTGGACACATTGATATGTGGCCCAAGGAAGGAAACTAGTAAGAAGATATGTCAGTTTTTAAAGATGATTTAATATTTAAATTTCCAGGAAACATTTCTCTGGAATGACCATTTTTAATTTCTTCTTTTCTATATTTTGGAAATTAAACTCGGCTACACAAATTTCTATCTCATCTTCATGCGCTCAGAAGGATGTTTTTGTCCTATCTGGGTTATAATCATTGTGGATTTCCAGTATTTTTGTGTGTTCTTTCTTTCTTTTCCCCCCAAATAACCCCTTTTGCCCATCTCTGCCTCTTTCATATGGAAGTAAGCCCAAAAAGCAAAAGCAAATATTTTTAAAGAGTTAGAAGACAAATTTATTTTATTATTTTGATTATTATAATTTTGGGGTGGGGGAATTTAATGAAAAAAATTTGAAATAATAAGAGCAAATGATAACAATAAAAGAAGTCTAATTTTATGGTGTATATTTTATAGTAAATAGAGCAACATGTACTTATTCAATAAGTGTGACTGAACACTACGGCATAGGACAGTTCTCATAATTTTTCTAAATTATTTTTACTTATTTGGTTTAATTTTTATTATGTTTTAAATGATTATTTTATTATTTGCTTTATCACCTTTCTACTTATTCACTTTTTTATTTATAAATCCACACAGAAGCCTAATATACTGACAGCCCTCCCACATCCTCATTAGTAACAGATGTTTAATCATGTTACATCCATACTCCACCCTCATTTTTGAATGTTTATTTTTTTATGTTTTTGCAAACTTCTTTAATGTCTGGCTTAATGGAAGATAGCTGGGTTAATTTAATTAATAATCAAGCACATTAATTTTTTGCAGGAAAATATATATGTACTTACACTAAGCAGAAAAAATAAAGACTATTCAGCGCAGGTCCTGTTACAATGAGAAAGCGTTCAGCTTTTTAGAGCTTTATAGGTTTCAGAATGGAGGATGAAAGATCATAGGGCTGTTCTTTATTTTTGCATTTTATTACTTTAATGGGAATATCATTATTGTATTACTAGTATGAATGTGTGTAGAATTTTTATCAAATTCCTTCTAAAACGTGGTTTTCTTAGATAGAAGTTTCACAGTTGATTGGATATATATATATATCCAGGATTTGATATCATTATATGAATTATCTTAACATAGTGATATAACATACTATGTTTTAATTATTTTCTTATGCTCTGAGGATCCTTAACTTAAGTCTCAGCTGCATTGCCCGGGAGTCACACTTTTCTAGACTGTGCCAAGGATCTTGAGAGTGGCTCACCAGAGATTCATTTCCATGCGGTGAGAAGGGACATCCTAGGAAAGAACTCATCTAAGGATGAGAGTAACTTCCACAACCTGGCCCAGCCCAATAGCCCTACCTGGGGGTAGGGGGACAACTTTTAGTCAAGGCAAGATGTGTGTCTCTAGGAGCACCTTTTGGGCCAGTCCTCATACACGTCTGCCTGAGCTCTGTCGAAGGGGTGGCCAATCAACTGTTCTGTTTTGGATGTGCTGTGTTGTTTTATTTGTAACATCAAGCATTAGGAGCACAAGACAGCACACAATGCTCGGATATAGATTCTGTGGGGGTGAAATGGTTCCTCTTGAACTTTGCACTCTACGCGTGCCCTCCAACCCCTCAAACATGGGGCCCAAGTGCTCCAAGGAAACTCCAGCACCTCCTCTGTGGCCCCTGGGCTCCATTATCTGCTGAGACAGTCCCCTGAAGCACGCTACACCCTGAATACTCAGACACCCCTGCTCTGCCTTTCTCATTGCAGCCCATGGGAGAAATCCACTTGGCAGGTGCGTTTGGGAAGCATTTTCATTATGTTATTGCTTGCATCCTTTCATACTTACTCACCTGGGCAAGTTGAATATACTCCTTCCCCTCTCCCTGTATCATTCACAGTGTTTCTCCAATAATCCCTGTTTGTTTAGTTTTAAAGTTCATTTTACACAGATTTTTATAGAACTATTCAGATATGAAGCCATCTTTTAAAGTTATTTTTATTATTGGCCGCCAAAAACTACATGGAGATGATGTTTACATAGTTACATTGTCACAAAGCTCCTTTGTCTTTTTTTTTTTTTTAACTTTAAAACTGAAACCCTAGAGTAGATTTCTCAAGGCCATGAGATGTGTGAGTAATTCACCACTGAAACTTAAAATTATATTTTGGCTTTTTTAAAATTAAAGTTCTTTCTAGATTTAAGTAGAGACTGTGGAACAATAAAAAATCCTGTGACTTCGAAGTAATGAATATAGTGCTGATTGTTTTTGTGTTCTGCTCTAAGTCTCTTCTGTCTAACTGAAGTTTTTAAATTTAAATTTCTTTTTAAAAACCTGAAATATGTTGAATTGACAGATAATCCTATCATTCTCACAGAAAATTAAAGAAAAGCATGGGCTAATCATCATCACGCATTTTAGGATGTGTAAGAATTCATATTTTATAGCATCGGTGCCTCTGTTCACTCTAGTTATTACACTTTGAAGGCCCCACACTGAATCTACAGAGAATATCAGTGTATATCTGCTGGTTTGGGCCTGAAATATGGCAAAATTCTGCTCATCGGTCTTCACATTGGAAGCTTATAAATGAGCTACATTATAATCTGTTTTGCAGGTGTTTTTTAACTTGTTAGGCAAAGCATTGCTGATTTATGGTTGCATAAATACCCCCTCAAGATCTGAACAAAAGCAATGTAATTTACTTACAAGTTTGAAAAAAAGAATTTCTTTTCTCCGGTCTTAGCTAAAGCATTACCAAGAAAGTTGGAGTTAGGAGACAGTGTGCTGTGTCAAGGGGGCAGAGGAGGGAAGGGAAGAACGGACAAATTCCTGGATGAATGCATATTTTAAAATCTTAGGAAGCAACCGACCTGAGTTTCTTGTGAATTTGCCTGTTTACAGTGCTCACTCCGTTTTTAATTTCTTCAACAAGTCTTCAGTTGGAATCCTCACTGTGCCAGGCCCTTGATTACAGGAACAGGAAGTGACAAATTGATGTGTTGGTCCCAGAGCTTCTCTGAATTGTTGCTCCTTGCTCTCCCTCGATAGATGGGCAGGACCCCTGAGGTTTTCTCTCATCCTAACGCTGTCATAGATGGCACCAAGTGAACATTGATTCATTTCAGGGATCATGAGCCAAGACATTTTGATAGAGATCATATGTTTCTACTCTTTTCTTCTTACCTAACTCAAAATATTTTATGTTTTGCCTTTAAGATTACTTGTCTTTTTTGGCAAAACAATGTTTCACAGTGACTACCTAATTGAGGGATGTGGATGGATGGATAGATGGACACATGGATGATGGATGGACGAATGCTTGGCTGCCTTTTATGTTTGCCATGTTAAGCAACCATCTGGTAAAGTAAATGTCCTTGAAAAAGTGGACTAATGATGACATCCGTAACACACATTAGAAATTACCTACCTCATTGTGACAATGTGCATTTTAATATCCAATCATGAGTATTTTCACTTATTTTATTTTCCTTTAGCTTCAGTGCTGTAATGCATAATTGGCGGTTGCAGAGTGTTCTTTCTACTTCCATGCACAATGTACAAACTGTTGGTCCCTAGGGTGCCAAATCTCGATTTAGTGGGCTTTGGAGTGTAGGGTATTAAACATGAAGCATTTGCTCTGTTTCAGCACCACATAGATTGTACACTACTCCTGGGAGGCCCAAAATACCAGAAAAACCACCCCTCAGACCTGGTAAGTTGTTTCCCTTTCTGATGACCCAAACAGTCAGCACATCTGAGAAGATATAAACTGTATCGAAACAGCTAGATGCACTAAAGAAGAGCTATATGCTTAAATTGAAATAAAGGACATACAGAAATTCTGGTCCTTGCAGATAAGTGGAGAGGTAATGATGGATCCATGGAACTGGCAAGACCTGAGTAAGGTTTTTAAGGAGGATCAGCTTCAGAGACCACTATAGAACTTTATCAATAGGAAATTATTTTTGAAATAGTATTTGTGCATAAATCACACACACACACACACACACACACACACTTTTTCAATTTTCTATGACAATTATAGGTAGCATTAACATTCTGTGTGACATATTACTTGCTTTCAAATATTATTAATCTTTTTTATTTTATTTTATTGTTTAAAGTATTACAAATAGTAGTACATATGTCTCCTTTTCCCCCCCATTGACCTCCTCCCACCCTCCCCTACCCCTAGCACTTGCCCTCACCCCCCCCACCCCCTGCTGTGTCTTATGTCTATTGGTTGTACTTATATGCATGCATACAAGTCAAATAGTATTTATCTTTTAAGAAAAGATAATCTCTTCAGTATAAAAGGCTCTTGTTCTGGGAGAATATTTTTACTTTATTCCTTCTGATGATAAAAAAAAAGCACATCATTTTTCAGGTTTTAAACAGTAAAAATAAAGTGATAATTAAACATTAGAAAATACTTTAAATTTACTAAATTCGCAGAGGTTCTAGGATCTCCCTTACTGGAGCTTATTAGGGAAGAGTTAACTGGAGGGGTTGATTTGAGCCATGTAAATAACTTCTATGCTAAAGTACAAGTTAGACCAAAGACTGGTGTTTTCTACCCTTTTCCTACTGTGTTTCTCAAAGTCTTCTTGAATTTATAAATTATGAAATTGGCTTATAAATTAATATTCTTGGTTAACATCTCTCCAGGCACATGGAAGAAAGAACAAATAATTTTTTTCTATTCTTTGGTTTATGGAAAGCCAATAAGTTTTAGAGTAATCCTCCAAATCCTAAATGCATTAGGCACAGAAGTCTTTTATAAACAAATATATCTCCATGTAACTTTTATATCATGATAACTGTTGAGAAATGGTTATACTAAGTGTTTCTACAAAATAATGAATAGTAGCAATACAGGCAGTCCTCGGGTTACGTCGGATTCAACGTACATCATTTCGTGGTTACGTCGCCATCTCCCATTTATTTATTTTAAAACAGTTCCGTCATTTCGAAATATGTACATACGTGTTTTATGTTTTTTATCATTTATTTACCATAAGTAAAGGCCAGGAATTGTTATATTTCTTTAAAAAAAAATTTTTACTGTTTCACTTCATTACTGCTGCATATGTGCTCCATGTGAGTGACATAGGTGCTTATGTAGGTGGGTTCCGACTTATGGGGAAAATCGCGTTATGTGGCGCCATAGGAATGGATCTCCATCAGACGTAACCCGTAACCCGAAGACCTACTGTGATGGCTAACAGTGACTGAGTGTTTGCCTTGTGTCCCATTGGGTAGAGTTGAGGAAGCTAAGACATAAGAAGAGCTAGGAAGTAGATTCAGAGTCAAGCAATCAGGGTCCAGTGGTTACTCTCTTAACCACGGTGTATTTAGTTCTTTTCTTTCAAGAGTCTTCTAAGAGAAGGATAAGGCCGGTGACCTCTTAAAGTTTTGATAGCGCTATGGCTGTCAACAGAGCAGGAAAGAAATTGTAATGGTTTTATTACAGTTTTGTGTTCAATGATGGGCTTGTACCAGGATTATCAAGGAGCATCTGTACCTAGAGACTCGTGCAAAAGGACCATGAACTTATGAGTTATGAATTAAGGCCTTGACAAGTAAATACACTTCAGTTTTGTTTTTTCATTAGCATAGGTCAGTGATGGTGAACCTTTTGAGCTTGGCGTGTCAGCATTTTGAAAAACCCTAACTTAACTCTGGTGCTGTGTCACATATAGAAATTTTTTGATATTTGCAACCATAGTAAAACAAAGACTTATATTTTTGATATTTATTTTATATATTTAAATGCCATTTAACAAAGAAAAATCAGCCAGAAAATGATTTCGCGTGTCACCTCTGACACGCGTGTCATAGGTTCGCCATCACCGGCATAGGTAGTCCTGATTGTTCTTCAGTTCATTTTGGAACGCACCTAGTGCTTATAAATGAAGAAAGATATTTCCCATTTAGAAATATAAATTTCTTTGCCAGTTAACATTAGAGTACAAACCCAGGTTTCTATTTCCAAATACAAGCCTGTGATTTTTATACCAGAATTGTGGTTTCTATATTCTAAACAATAATTTTTGGTAAGGCATCTTTTTTTATTGCTTGGTTAAATGATTTACAATTCTCTGGGAAGTTTTGTTTTCCTTGGCTACAAATTACTATAAGAAAATGTCTGAACTATTTCTTTCCCACTTTATTATAGTTCTGAATAAAACAACTACAAGACCTACTAGACCCAAACCCAATGGGATGCCCAAAGGGAATGAGATGGGAACAGGTAATGATCACAAATTTATTTCTTTTTGATGCTGCCAAAACTATAAATGTTTTCATTCAATTTTTATAGTTTTGTTGAATTCTCACTTCAATTTCTTTTTTAATAGTTTTGGAAGTTCCTAGCTTAAGGAATTGAAAATTGTAATGCATTCCAAAATCAAAACATCCTATGTCTCTAAAAACATTAAAGGAGAATTTATTATTTTTTCTAAACACAGGTCACTAAATTAGCTACCATACATGGGCTTGATTCTTCAAAAGATGCTGATTAAATATGAATTATCAAATTAAAATATCAAAATAGCTGTTTTCCTTCATTTCAAAACATGTCCTATACACAGGCTTGGTTTTTGAGACTAAAATCACTTGGTTTTCAACTTTATAATTTCACAAATACCATTTAAATTTTAACAGACCTAAATCTGTTAGAAATATTGACTATAATATTTGAATAAGAAGGGGAATTGGCAATTGATCACCCTTGTTATAGTAATATTAATGTTTACAAATTATATTATTTAATTAGATGACATTAGTTTAGTCACATCTATAGGAGTAGGTATCATACAGATAACTAGGACAATGATCTGATAAAAATGTAAACACCCAATTCACTAAGTGTATAAGTGATAGTTTTGATGACTTAATATGGTATGGCATCATTCCCTTGTAATAAATTCACAGTTGATTGTGTACTCCAGGCATTGCAGACCCAAGCTACTCTTAACAAAGTGGGTTACTTCTCACCTGAGGATATGTTGTTTTCTCTATTGATTTTTAGAGAGAATGTAAGGGGTGGGAGAGACAGAGAGAAACATTGATGTGAGGGAGACACAATGATTGGCTGCTTCCCACATGTGCCCCGACCAAGGTCAGGGATCAAGCTTGCAACCAAAGTACATGCCCTTGACCGTAATCAAACCTAAGACCCTTCAGTCTGCAGACTAAAGCTCTAACTACTGAACAAAACTGGCTAGGGCAATATTTTTTAAATAGTACAAGATTTGTGATTGTTTATGTAAAAAAGCATGAAAATGAGAATTTATTTAATGATATATATTTAATCAACCCATGATGTTTCCTAAGGAGAAAGAGATGTAAATAATACCGGGAGATATTCAGTATAAAAATCATTTAGATTTGTTTTAGAATGTCTTTTTTGTATCAGGTTATTATAGTGTCTGAAGTTGTAGGAATTAACTTCCCTGCAAACCAAGCAATGAGACAACTGTTAAAAGTTCCTGACTCATGAAAAGTAAGAGAGTTCTGATACTTATTTGTGCTTAGCCTTAGCTGCTCCTTTTATTCTTCGCAACAGTGAGATTAGGCAATGCATAGTTTCTCAACTTGACATGAACAATCTGGCTCTAAACAGAGCCAACTTCTTAATATTCAAAGTAATTCTCTCAAGTTTGTCTAAGTAAAAATAGAAGAAAGCACTTATGTCAACAAAGCAAATGAAAGAACAACTAGCTATGATCAAACTTGAAAGTCTTCAACCCTCAGCACAATCAAGCATTGATTCTCACTAGGAAAGTGCTCATTGTTCTTCAGAGGGAAAACAGAGTCATTATATTTTAGTTTATCAACAATATAAACATTTTTGCAGAGCCACTTATAACACAAACTGACATATATTACCCTCTTGTGTAGATGAACTCAACTATGTAGTAATAACTCATGAAACAGCCTTACATAATCTTTTATCAGGGCTTTTTCAATCTAATTAGCTGGTTGCTGGTAGAAAGGAGCTGGTGGGCATAGGTAGACAAAGCTGAGCTCACTCTTACCCTTATCCTTGCTTCACCTCCATCCTCAACCAAATTGTGTTGCACCTATTCTGTGTTCTAACGTCTGCCTATTGGGATTTCCCTTCGGGAAAACACTTGCTACCCACCTGCAGGGAGTGAGATCAGCAGATAGCATCCAAGATCAACCTCTAAGATCTGGGTGGTACATTTCCATGTCAACTACAATAACACATAACAACCAAATGACATTTACCTCAGGAATACAAGGTTGGCTCAACATTCAAACAAATTAGTGTAATTTTCTACATTAACAGAGCAGAGAAAAATGATATGACAATCTCAGTAAATACAAAAAACCACCATTAGACAAACTTCAAAATTTATTCATGATGAAAACTCTCAGAAAACTAGGGCTTGAAAAAATTTTCCTCACTGATAAAGGGCATATGTGAAAAAATCTACAGTTAAAATTATACTTAATAGTGAAAGTCAAAATATTTTTCTCCTAACATCAAGAACACAAGCAAGGGCTTCTATTTTTATCATTTCTTTTGGAAATAGTCGTGGCATATGTAGCCAATGCACTAAGTCAAGAAAAGAAGTATGCAGTACAAAAACTGGGGATCACAGATGACATTATTTATCATCTTATGAAAGGAAGGTTTAACAGCTCTCAAAATATTTGCCTAGGGAATAAAAAATTGGTAAGAAAAAGAATGTTTAAAATATATTCTCTCCAGATTATAGGTTTACATGAGTTTACCTTTCTTTGATTCTGCATAGTTTTGATCTGATTTGTTTGCAGAAATGCAGGTATTCACATTAAGTTTATTTTCTTCTCTGACCCAGTCCCACTTTCTCATCCACATTCACTTCTAACCTCCATTGAGTCTTAATGAAAGTTTTTCTGTGTCAACTTCTTCCTTATCCAACTTTCACATCTTGCCCAGAATATATATCTTTATTACCCATCTCACATACATTTTTCTATAGTTTTCCTTGCTGAAGTTTTCAACCCAGATACTTTATAATAAAACTAGTGGCCCAGTGAACGAAATGGGGGGGGGGGGGGGGCCCTTGGCCTGGCCGGCGACCAGGGCCAATTGGTGCCTGCCGGCCAGAGGGAGGGACAACAGGAGGTTGGCTGAGAGAGCACACTGACCACCAGGTGGAAGCTCCTGCATTCATTGAGTGTCTGCCCCCTGGTGGTCAGTGGCATCATAGCGACCGGTTATTCGGTCCTGGGGGGGCAGGGAGGAAAGCCTTTTTCAGCAGAAGGAGATGCTCTTGGCAGACAAAAACACATAATCCCTATATCTGGACTGATAGCCAGCCATATGCACTATGTTGCCAAACCGGTCATTAAAAAATTGAACCGGTTTCTTACACCTTACACCACACAGCTGCTGCCCTTAAAACCCCTCCTCAGCCACCACCTTAGGTTCTGCCTTCATAATTCACCCAGATTAGGTTCTGATTGGTTGGTTTCTATGCCAGTCAGCATCAAATGCATATTCCTGTTATCCTACAGTCTAGTCCAGTGATGGCGAACCTATGACACGCGTGTCAGAGGTGATACGTGAACTCATTTTTTGGTTGATTTTTCTTTTGTTAAATGGCATTTAAATATATAAAATAAATATCAAAAATATAAGTCTTCGCTTTCTATGCCAGTCAGAATCAAAAGCTTTGCCTCCTAGTCAGCCATTGGCTCCTCGCAATTCACCCAGATATGGTTTTGATTGGTCAGTTTCTATGCCAGTCAGTATCTCTGGGCCTATCTCTGGGCCTGATCAAAGAGGCAGGGTTGACAGGAACCCCCCCCCCCAGAGGCCCAAAGAGAAACAGAGGTGCGGCTGCTGGCGAAGCCCAGAGAGAAAGAGAGAGGCAATGGCTGTTCAACAACTGCCACAGAGGCTATGGATCAGACCCTGCCTCTCTCTCTGCAGGCCTCTCTCCGAGCCTGATCCGCAGCCCCCTTGGCAGTCAGTGCTGGGTTGTTGCACCAGCACCAGCTGCAATCAGTGCTGGGTCACCATGGCAACCCAGCACTGACTTCCAGTGCTCGGTGGAGCCTTGGTTGTTGAGGACATTATGGTCACCCTGGCTCTTTATATACATAGATAAAATCAGTTGATAAATGAAGTGTTTAGGATTTATAGGACATATTTTTCATGGTCTCACATCTCTTAAGGTTGTGCCTTGGAAGACTAAAGAAGCAAGATTCTAAGGCCTCAAAACTATCAGCCTTTGGCTACTTGGGCCTCTATAATAATTTCACTATGATTGCATAAACTGCAGGAATATTTAGGCCATCTTGAGCCAAGTAAAATAAGTTTCTTATTTTACTGTTACAGATATTTATCCTGCTTTAAGTACATTCCATACCTATATGCATAAATATTTTTCCACCTCCAAATTAGAAAGCAGCCTATAAGAGGTTGAAGTTTTAGGTAGGTCACCATCTCTGCATCTCTTTTTTTCATGGCTTTTAGAGCTGTGCCTCAGCCTAACTTATTTGTTCTACATATTATAACCAACTTCAGAGATGCAACAAGCATGCATTAGATCTCATAAACTAGAGCCCCATAGGCCAAATTCAACTCACTGTTTACTTTTGTAAATAAAGAGTTATTGAAACATTGTCGAAACTGGTTTGGCTCAGTGGATAGAGCGTCAGCCTGCAGACTGAAAGGTCCCAGGTTCGATTCCAGTCAAGGGCATGTTACCTTGGTTATGGGCACATCCCCAGTGGGAGATGTGCAGGGAGGCAGCTGATCGATGTTTCTCTCTCATTGATGTTTCTAACTAACTCTCTCCCTTCCTCTCTGTAAAAAATCAATAAAATATATTTTTTTAAAAAGAGTTATTGAAACATAGCTTGCTTTCTCTGGCATAATTGAGTAGTTGTGACAGAGACATATGGCCCACAAAGCTGACAATATTTACTATCTGACCCTTGACAAAATGTTTTCCAACCCTGTGCTAGACAGTCTCTCAACTTTCTCCCTACAGAAGAGAGCTGCTGAGTTGTGTAGCTATTATTTCATTCAGCCAACATTTATTGAAGGCCCACTAAGTGCTAGGTAAAGTGTAATTTGGAAACCACCTTGGCACATGTAGTTTGGCAGATATGTTCCATATTTGAACCCCAGACTCCTTTTTCTACATCCTGATGAGGTGCACTTCACTGCCCCCAAATGGAGTTTGCTTGACAAGCAAAACCCAGATTCCTTTTTTGATTTGTGTATTTACATTTCAGGAATGTGTTTGGGCTGTGGCTAAATCTTCCAGTCTGCTGGCTCATCACCCCTGACCTTTTAGATAGGTGCTAAGATTTGGAGACAAGGATGAGGAGAGCAATCTACACTAATAAAAGAGAAAAATGGTAATTGGCGTACAACGCTACCCTTTTCATTGGCTAATCAGGGTGATATGCAAATTAACTGCCAACTAAGATTGGCAGTTAACTGCCAACAAGATGGCAGTTAATTTGCATATGTAGGCACAATGCAGGGAGACTAAAGGGAAAGCAGGAAGAAGCCCCCTGCCACTGACAGTG